TGTGTGTGTGTGTGTGTGTGTGTGTGTGTGTGTGTGTGTGTGTGTGTATGCTTGTGTGCAGTGTCCCCTACAGGCCAGAAGAGGGCGTCAGATCCCCGGGATGTGGACTTGCAGGGGGTATCTGCTGACGGTGCTGGCACTCAGCTCAGGACCACGGAGCTGCGCGCTCCCCACCTTTGAACCATCTCTGCAGTGCTCGCTGTTCTGGGGATCAGTCTGCGCCTGCTCGGCAGGTGCTTCGCTGCTGAGGCATCCCGCCGGCTGCCATGGTGCTTTGTGGAGAAGGGACCAGGCCTGCATGCTCTGCAGTCAAGCAGAGACTGCCTTTTCTGAAGGGCCTCCTTCCACCAGGGCCAGTGGGCTCATTGTGGTGTACACTTGGAGAGGAAAAGGTCGGGAGGCCCCCTGGGGCAGACAAGTGGCATAAATAAATGGCTCTGGACCCTAGTGAGGAGGACACCGTGCCTACTGTGGAATCCTGCCTGACTCTTCCTTGGAGCCTGTCTGCCTCACGTGTCAGATGTGAGGAGGACAAGGCGGTGTGGTCCTCTCCATCACCCAGAATCTGAGCCACACGGCTGGACTTCCTGCGGCCACGTTCTGTAGGAACTACTTTTTATTCTATTTTATTTGGGGTTTCTCACGCCTCTACCTCCCTTTCATCAACCCCCCCCCCCAACACCAGGAGAGAAAGAAAGTTAGAGGGGAAAGGGGCGTAGGCCTCTTTGGACTGTTCCTGGCTGGTTAGAGTCGTTGGTTCTTTGGGGCGGTATCTATCTCAGTCATCAGATACCCAGCAGTCCAGCAATTCCAGCAGCATCCTTTTTTCTCCATTCACCTCCTCAAAGCTCTGGGCTCTGCTATTTACACCAGAGTCTCGGAGTTCTCCAAATTCCGCTAACTAAAGCTGGAAGAGGCCACATCCTCTCTGAGCCACATGAGGCTGTTATCAGCTGTGGACAAACTAAAAACAGCTCCATATCCTACACTTGTGAACAAACCAAAACCTGTTGACAGAACATAACCGAGTCTTTAAAGAAACCAGAACTTTCACTACAAAGTTCACTTCAGTTCTTGACTGAAGTTTGAAGGAAAACCCTCCCAGATGTCATGTGCACAGGAGGGGTGTGTGTGCACAGGAGCCAGTATCTCCCAGGTGTGACACACGTGGTGACTCTGCTCTGTGCATCACACTCAGGCAGGTGTGTACGGAGCAGCCTTGGCCGCTGGTGAGTCCAGCCCATCTCAGGGTCCTTTCCCACAGGTCGGCGCCATCGGGGATGAGGAGGAGTGGGTCACCCTCTATGAGGAGGAGAACGAGCCTGATGCCCAGACGCTGGAGATCCCAAACCTCACACCCTACACACACTACAGGTGAGAACTTCCGGTGGGAAGCGGCCACCGCTGGACCTGTGTGTACTAGGAAAGACCAGATGGCGTATGGAAAGTAGGATTCTCTAGGTAGAGGGCTGGGGGAATGGGTCAGGCGCTAAGTGCCTGTTCTGCAAGCATGGAGACCTGAGTTTGCATTCCCAGAAACCCACTAAACCTGTCTGGGGACTGTGGCACACACCTGCAATCCCAGGCCTGGGGCTTGATCGCCAACCAGGCTAGCTGAAGTGGTTGGAGCCAAGTGCAGTGAGAGACCCTGCCTCAAAAAAGAAGGTGGAGAGTGATGAGAAAGACGCCCTATATGCCAACTCTGGATTCCACATTTTGGTGCATCAGACAACACACACACACACATGCACAGGGAATTCTATAAGTGATAATAACAGTACATACACAAAAGCCTTCATCAAGACACACAGTCTGAGTATCATGCCAAGGCCATGCATGATTGGATTTCAGGCTGGCCACACATTTCCCTCAAAGCGCACTGTAGAAAAGACTTGATGTTGCAATCAGGAAATAACCAGGAACTGCAGGCCGAAAACTCCTAACAAAGTAGATGTCCCATGTGCCCGTTCTGCGTCTCTCTTCCATGACCCCAGAGCTGCTCTTCTCACTAATCAAGTGCTTACCATGGCATTTAACCTTTCGCTTCTAGATCCTGCCGCTTACCCTGGCAGTAAATCCCTGGCCTTCACAAAGGGTAGGGTGATCATGAGCTGTTAGCGATGCTATCAGTTCCCGTAACATCAGCCCAAGAGATAGAATTTCCAGTTATCGTCAGATGTTGAGTCTGATAATGTCGTTGTTCTGCCAGGATGGATACACTCTGTGTAACTGGGGGAATAAGAATGAGTAATTCCAAGAGTGAAAGGTGAAATTATATCTTCACAAAGAGCATTTATTCAGTACAATACCGAGGTTAGAATTTTTTAAAAACCTATGAAAGAGATGCTTTTTGAATCTATTCATTTGAACAATTTTCCTAAGCTTATATCAGATGAGTCAAGATAGAATATACTCAGTTCTTAAAAAAAAAAAAATGTAGCTTCGATGAGCTGATAGGACTCAAGACTTGGCATGTGAAATTACATGCAGCTGTGTAATTATCCCAAAGATCAGAAACCAGGATAAAGAAGTGATGTTCCTGTCTTAAATCCACATTAATTTAGGAGACCTCTGAAACAAGCATTATAGGTCCTTGCTTAGAGTTTTCATTATACGTAAATTCAGTTCAAATAAGTACAAAGGAAGAAGACAAAACAGGATGTGGTGGTACAAGGCTGTCATACCAGCTACTGAGAAAGCTGAGGCAGATGGATTGCAAATTCAAGGCTGTTCTGAGCTAAAGAGTTCAAGGTCAGGCCAGGCGATACATCAAGGCTCTGTCTAAAAAGTTAAAAGAAAGCTGGGAGCATGGCTCAATAGTAGAGCCCCTGCCTAGAATCCCCCAGTGAGGGGCTGGGGTGTGACTCAGTGGTAGAGCACCTGCCTAGAATAACCCAGTGAAGGGCTAGGGTGTGCTCAGTGGTAGAGCCCTGCCTAGAATCCCCCAGTGAGGGGCTGGGGTGTGGCTCAGTGGTAGAGCACCTGCCTAGAATCCCCCAGTGAGGGGCTGGGGTGTGCTCAGTGGTAGAGCACCTGCCTAGAGTCCCCCAGTGAGGGGCTGGGGTGTGGCTCAGTGGTAGAGCACCTGCCTAGAGTTCCCAGTAAGGGTCTGGGGTGTGGCTCAGTGGTAGAGCTCCTGCCTAGAATCCCCCAGTG